AAATATATTTAAACAAAATCTTGAGTTTAAAGACAGTCCTCAAGGATTTACACCATTTGTCACTCGAAGAGATCCAAACACTCGATGTATTGGACTCTAAATTCAATGCCATTATCTCTCAAAGAGGTAACCATTCAGTCAACACCACTGTCACCGCAAACGATGTCTTGAATCAAACGAATGGTCAGATGATGGACGACAGGAGTGTCTCGAAGACATCGTACGACTATCACAGCAAAAGAGTGCACCGATTGAGCGGTTCTTCGCACTCGTCGACGCCATCTCGAGCTGAGAAGCACATGAATGACACTCATATGTCAGCAATGGTTGCCTGCGGACAGACACCGCACGAAATGCCTCCACAAATGGTGTCCAAGACATACATAATACCGGTGAATCCGGACGAGACACCAGTGGACAGGGAGTCGCTGTTTTCGTGTCACTCGAAAGAGACCAAAGAGATGGCGGACAGCGGGGAGACGAGTGGAGTGACGGGTGGATCCGTTGGATCCGTTGGCACACCATTACTGCCCAACGATATTGCGTGTATAGTGAATGAGTGCTCGTATTCAGCGCCCAATAAGTCAGGTCTCATACGACACCTCTCGCGCGTCCACTCCATCGCGCCCTTTGAATGTCAGTACATATCGTGCGGCAAACTCTTCGCCAACAAACCGGATCTCGATCTCCACGTGAATCGCATTCACCTCAAGATCTTTCACTGCCATATCCACGGCTGCGGGAAGCACTTTAAGAGCCTCTGGAATCTCAACATCCATTTGATGACACACTCGTCTGAGAAGCGCTTCAAATGCAATGTCGAGGACTGTCACTACCAGTGCATCCAGAAGCGCCATTTGGTCGCACATATGTACAAACACTACGGCTTAAAGCCCTTCCACTGTAGCCATGAGACGTGCGATAAGAGCTTCTCGACCATCGGTTCCCTGCGGACGCACATGAGTGAAGTACATGTGACGGAACGCCAGTTTGTGTGCGACTTTCCCGGCTGTGATAAAGTGTTGAAAACCAATCGATATCTCCTTCAACACAAGAAGTCTCACCTGAAAGCCAACGCCGCGGCCGCCCATGCCTTCAAATACGGCACATGACAGTGACAGTGAACCTCCCGCCGCCCCCCGTATACGGACTGTCAACGCACCGGTATTCATGGCTATGCGTAACGATTAAGATATGTAGTGATTTGTCATTTGAGTGCTGGGATATGACATTAAATATTACTTGTATTCACTATTTTATGGCTATATTTATGGCATAATTTTATCTGAAGTTTGATTGCATTCAAAATGTAAGATCTATTGTATTGTAGTTAACTATTGAATCCATTTTTGTGTTTAAATTATTATACTTAAAATGAAACTTGTACAACTTTTATTCATTAATATCTATATTGTATCTCAACTCTCATTCGTGTCAATAAACCTATTAATGATCAACAAATTGTTCATTTAGTATGACTGCTATGACTGCTATATTTCACATTGAATTAAGACATTAAGACAACCGTTTGGTTAAGAATCAGAATTTTTTTATTAGATTAAGAATAAAACAAAGTTTGCATTTAATTAGAGTTAAAGTTAGAAATGAGAGACAAACAAAGTTTTGTTTAAATATAATTAGAGTTAAGTTAGAAATTATTCATTTAATGTCTGTCTCTTGAGTTTAGCATCAGTGACAGTGAATCCCATTCACACCTGTCCTCCCATTCCTTCCACTCTTTGCGGTGAAGCGTCGCCCGATGTCTCCGGCGGTCGGAAGTGTTGTGTCTGTCGTTCGAGTTCTTCGTAATCTTCTTCGGGAACCTTTCGGAAGGATTTCATGTGATGTTTAAGCGGAGGGTTTCTGGCGAACCACACGACGCCATAGCAGTAGCCCAGGAATGGCAGACATAAGAGATATAAGACAATGAGTGTCACGAGACTTATGATGACAGTTATGAAGGCGTAGTACTTCTGTTGGTCCGCCAGTAACTCAGGCGCCACATCATCCGAGGATATAATCACCATCACGCGCATTAGGATTACACACAAGTGTTTGATCAACATTTTGGCAGTGATTGCAGTGAAAACTGGATTAATATTTATGGCCAAAACTCTTCACTCATTTGTCGGACACTTTCTCATTATATGTTATTTGAATGACTTTTTTCAACTGATTTTATGTGAAATACTGTGGTTTAGCGCGCATTGCATTCATTGCCAACTATTGTTGTATTCATTGTCTTATTAGTATTAATGCTTACATTCAATGCAATTGTCTTGTATTCATTGTTAAGACATAATGTGTAGACAGTGTTTAAGTTGATGTTGTTTGAGATAATTATCATTTGATTTAATTCTTAGATCTTTAAACTTAAGATTGTTATAATATTTTATATTTGAATTTTATGAGAAGCTTAAACGTGAAAGCGATTAATTAGTTTTTAATTATTTTAAGTACGGTATTAATAATTTCATTGAATTCTAGGTTAAACTGAACGGAAAATGTTTTGATTTTTAAATAATGATTTAATTTACGGTTATTTAACTTATGATATAATAATATAATAATATGAAAAGTTAAAGAATTTAAAAGTTTTAATAATTTGGACATAATTTGTGTGAAATATATGCAAAAGTCGTGCATTTGTTGACAAACAGTTTCACTGAATGTGAAGTGAATTTGATTTGCATTTTGAATGCAATTAACCGTAGATTTTGTGTTCATTTGACATCAGATTATGAAAACAATGTCTGAAATACTGATCAATGATTTGGTGGAAGAGTTGAGTGAAGAAAACGAAAGACTTTTATATGAATTACAATTTGAGAGACAATTGAATGAAAAGTGTTCATTTGACATCAGATTATGAAAACAATGTCTGAAATACTGATCAATGATTTGGTGGAAGAGTTGAGTGAAGAAAACGAAAGACTTTTATATGAATTACAATTTGAGAGACAATTGAATGAAATGTTAGAAAATTTGCGAAAATATTCATTGGATTTGAAAACCAATTGTTTTTGTGATCAAAATAAACAGACTTTTGATTTGTTGGATCAGTTGGACACCCGTTAC